GACGGTATATAAAAAAACGACGTGGCTCGCGTAACTCCCGGGGAGGAACCCTTTTTTTTATACTCCCTCTCGGGGGGGGGGCGCGGCCGATACGAAGATGTTCGCTCCCCCCACAATATCGCAAGAAAATTGTGTTTCTCTCTAAAGATGTCCGATACATCCTTTCCCACGTGCGGTGCAATCAGCTGGATGCCTACCGGATGCAGACGCGCCCATTCTGTTCGCCTTGTCAGTACTCCCTGAAACAACGGAGCGCTGTGGTGTCATCTGGATGCTCCTCTCAAACGTACCTGTCACGTCATAGACATTGTTCCAAATGATGATGTAGGCCCCAAGGGGGCTCTTTGTTGAGGTATCGATGGACTGCCACCTCACGCCTAGTGTAGACGTTAAAGGTACGCGTCTTCGGCATCTCGCCCGCCCAGACTGTACCGACTCTGGTTTCCCAGAGGCTGCTTCTCACTTCAGAAAGATCGTATTGGCTCATGATGACTTTGTGTGCAGGGCTCCCGCCCGGCACACTTCGTAGCAGTGTATGCAGTGGTATTTGGCCTTCATCGGTCATGATCAGAGAGGTCCAGCCTGCCAGCAGTTAGTGTCTTGCAATCCTTAATGGCATGAAGTGAAACTACTTGTAATATCAAAAATGTTCCGTTCGAGAACAATCCAGAACGGCTGGCCATCCTGTCCATCACGCATGGCCACCTCGTGCTTCTCGATACTCTGGTATGAATCGCCCAACCAACGCTTCCGGATCAAATTGCCCGTTGTTGTTCGATACATGCATGTCCAGCATTAGATCGCCGTGCCGCAGCGGAATTGGTCGCCCTAATCTGACCCAGCCATAATACTCATCATGCAGCGGGGTTTCTCTCTGGCGGCTTGACGGCGTCCCAGAAGCAGACTAGATAGACGGTGCGGCGTTCAATGATGCATACTTCTCTACCGTTTCCACTGTTCTGCTCCACGATGTCCGCCGGCATCCACTGATACATAACGCGGTGCTTGTCCTCAAGGGGCGCGATCACGTCGACCATCTGCGCCCAGGTGGGCAGGCTCGTGTCAACCGGGTCTGGATCCGCGTCACGGCCCCAGATGGGGCGGTACTGCTCGATGGTGTTGTACAGGCACGTTTTTTGCGACGCGCGAGTGTATCCAGGCATGGCAAAGTTAAGGTTGAGCCACGTGCCCTCTCTGTTGACATCGGGGTCAGCGAGGTTTCCGACCTGCGCCGCGACGTCCTTGAGGGCTGCCTCAAAGGCTTCTTTGAGACCCAGCGGCGCCGCACAGAGATTCTCATATATCTTGAAATAGCCAGCCGCTTCATGGAGAAAGTGTCTTCGGAGAGCTCGGGGCGATCGGGGGTCCTTGATGCTGTAGGGCTCCTTGCCTTGCTCCCCGTCGAGTTTGTGACCTGGAAAGTTGAGCACGAAGTCTGCTGTGTTCTCAATCGGATCCGATTCGCGGTACGCCGAATCGGCAATGCTGTTAAGAAAGGCGCGCTGCTCTTCCGGCTGGCCCTCCAGCACCGAGGGTCGAACAGTCCAGGGGTTTTTCACCAGCTCCGGCATGTGGCCTTTTCGCGGGTTCACGTGAAGCGGCTCAAAACGGATGGGGAGCACCGCTGTAATCAGCATGCACATGGCACGGTAGAACCAGTTGCTCTTGTCGATCATGTCGTGACTATTCAAGAGCCATGGGAGCTCCTCTGGGCCGGCGTTTGGCCAGACGAGAGGGTTCGACCAAGTCGAAATGATATCCGCAATGTCCCGCTCGTCTGCGAATGTGCGACCCACGAGATGCTTGTCGAGAACCTTTTCTAGGTCGAACCTATTCCACACGTTGCCGTAGGGAGAATTTCGCCATTCTTCGTAAGCCTCCTTATACCACGGCCGCCACTCTTCGTATTGCTTCCTTCGATAGTGTATCCGACGAGCCATTTGCTTCAGCGGCCGCTCGAGTGAAGCATTGGTCTTTAAGTCATGGTTCCAGGCTGCGGGTACGCACGAGACATCGAAGCCGGTCGTAACACGGGTATCAAATACTCGGGGCATCCGGAGCGCGTCGCTGCCATACTTCGCAACAGTAGACTCCCAGAATTCTTTCGTCGTCGTGGCGCATGTGTACAGAGCTGGCACCGGCGAACTCTCATAGGTATACGGATACTCCAAATCGATGCGAATTGAGTGCGACGCCCATGTGCTCGGCTTAAGGATAGGCCATTTTATATTCGATGCCAGAAATGCGGCGCCGTTGGATGAGCCACTGAAGCGGTATATGTCAAGAGGATGTGCACTTAGATTGGCGACACCGCCGAAGATGGCGTTTTCGAACGATTCGCCCATTTCAGACAGCAGCTCGTTAAACATGAACTGCAAACTATTAGCAAAGCGCAGCCATAAGTGTTGTTGCCGGTGACTTGCCGTCTCGCGATCAGGGTGAGGTTCGGGAAGCATTTCCGTCAACTGATTGAAATTGGTCTGGCCAAATCTGACGCCGTGCTAGATGCATGTAAGTCATATGTCCGCTTGAAATCCTGAAGAAAGATTGTCTACGGAGTTTGCTTTGCGCTGAAAACTTACCAGTATCTCATGAGTGATCTGCATACAGCTATCAGCAAGCACAACATACAGCTTGGGGGGAAACAGAACACACTGTGATCGCTAGGAGCGCTCTAGCTTGGCGTTTTGATGTCTCGCTGACTCCGGGTTTGATCAGGGCCAGAGCACCCATAGTATCGACCTGGATCAGGATCGATTGTCGGCCATCGATCTCGAGCGGACCAGTCACTCCATAAGGACAGCCGTTGGGCGCCTCTGAATTGCGGTTGACAGAGTTAAAGGTGAAACTGACATCCTCGCAGAAGTGGTCAATGGCTTCTATGTAATCGCTCACGTCAAAGCGGCCATCGATTCCTCTTTCTGTGGCCCTCCATATTGTGCCCCTTTCGTTACTTTTGCGGCCTTTGGGCAACTGTACGTTTTTGGTGGCGCGGATCGTCCTCATATCGAGGAACGTAGACATCCTACATGGGATCATCGATCAGTGTCCATGACAGCCCCTTAGGAGGAGCGACTTACCACCTGGTGTAAGAAGCCTGTTTGAGAATGCGGTTTGCAATGTCTAGGACTTGTCGAAGCTCTGCCCAGAGAATCGCATCATCGACAGACCACTTCCTGTTTTCTCCGTCTCCGTCGACAAATTCTTCAAAGTCGCAGACCCATCGATCCTTTCCTAAGACTCTAAACCACTTCGACTCGTCGATCATGTCGCTGTCCGCCAGCGTCCCGCTGGATGCAAGGGGCTCGGTCTCTTTCGGCATGTTCTCCTCTTCCTGCACCATGAGAGCGGCCTCCCATGTGCGCATACCGCCGAGCGCCAAGCGTTGCATCTCTTCGGCCTGCAACAAGCGATCAAGGTCCTCGGGATGCGGCTCCGGAATCGTGTCGCCAAGGTCCGGAGGGTTGACCGGCTCGAACGTATCATGGTTCAGTCGAGGGAAGTCGGGATCTATCCAAGACCGGCCGCCTCCTACATACGGGGTCTTCCTTGATACTCCGTACCTCGATGTCCAGCCGCTAGGCTTGGCCCACGTTTGTGTCTTTGCCGGTGGGACGTAGCTACTCGAAGAGGGGGGGCTGACGGCGTTCGTGGCAGGTGTTTTGGCAGTTTTTAGGCCCATGAGTGTGTTCCCAGCATGGTTCTGCACGTCATCCAAGAACTCTAGGTAACGCCCTGAAGGCAGGTCCGAAACCAAGGCTTCGAGGATCTCGAGATTATCGGCCATCGTGGCTTCGTCGGGCAGGCTTTGATCTGTTGGCGATGCCATGGATATGGCATTGCATGGTCGATTGAAAAGTGAGGAGAGACACCTAAAAGGTGATATCTAGGAGGTGCACGATGGCTTTGCGAGAAACACAGAGCGCGTACACGAAACGAGAAAACATGAACAGGGCAAAAGCAACCATGTGCATTCATTGATGTTCGGTATGGCAGGATTGATAAGGAAATTGTGATGAAATTCGCGAGCTCTCCCATAGCAACCGACCTCGAGCGGTCGCGGGTCGTGTCGGACAAAGGAGACACCTATATCTCAGGTCGAGGGATAACAACAAAGACGAGAATAGACACAAGGCAAAGCTGCCACCTCTTTGCTCAAAGCATTGGCCTCGAGAGTACTCAGGCTCTTGAACAAAGAATCAAATCATAGCTTAGAATGCATCGCCTGACGTCTGGCATTGACGATCACGGGTAAGGCAGAACAGATACTGTGTGGGCGAAGGATGCAGACGGATGAGGAAGAGTGTGGCGCGGGCGTCAATATCAAGGCTTTGTTTGGGATTATGTTTTGACGTTGCGTGATAATACATGTTGGGTCCCTGCAGCTTGACAGATCTCTTGGCTTATTGTTTAGAGGTGAACGGCATAATGCGATGATCAACGCGGCTAGGAAGCAGGTTAATGAGAGCTTAGCACATCTATCGGGGGTTGCGGCGTTCAAGTTGGGTCAATTCAGAATCAAACATTCAAAGTAGGGAGACGCGATTTCGAGACAGATTCGCCAGCATACTGAGTATATTTCGCTGGGAGCCACATGACATATCTTTAGCAAGTCACAAGAGTTTGTGCAGGAGAACTCCTGTGACAACGCATACACTTTCCCTATATGATGGTCGCAGCCTGACTCACTGATACCCATTGCAGGAATTTCGGCTGTCATATAGACGTCACTGAAAGGTCTAAGAGATGGAGTTCCACGTCAGCGGAAATTCGACCATAAGGTGTGCGGCTCCTTGCCGACCCAGGAAAGGCACCCGGTATTATTTAGTATGCTGGCTGTGCATTCGCCTGAATGTTAGAACAGTGATGATTCAAATCACTAGTGAAGTGGTCAATTACTTGACCGAACCCAGTCCAAGACGAGTGCACTTAATGTTCATTTCTTTACGAGACAGAAAGGAGTGGATGTTGAAGCGAAGACATGAGAGCACGGAGGTGTCAAGGCCTGGCCCAAGGTCCTAGAGGACTGGCTCTCACGAAAGTGCCGCAGCACATACGACCTGTACGACATTGCTGAATATTTCCAACTTCGGCAAGATATCAGTTATGCTGAGAAAACCACATCCATCACCAGGCTTCTAAAGAGCCCACCATTCAGCCCCGTCACCAATCTGATGGTCTCCTATCATCTCCCATGTAGATGATCTTGATTTAGTACCTCGGTCATAGTGTTACCTCCTTTTTTATGCAAAGATCTACTGTTGACTATGACAGGGTATCAAACTTTCAGGTTTCTTCAAGCGGTGAAGGACAATGAAGGATGGGCAGCATGCGATCGAGTACTGAGACCATCGTTATAGTGCTTAGCGGGTTAAGACATCCTACGAGTTGGAGGTATATCAATCAGCAGTACGCTCCAAGGTCCCTGATACTTATAGATGACCATTACTCAAGGTCATAGCGGGCATATACGCGTTTGGTATTATCCCAACCGGTCCCGCCTCTCTCTAGGCACGTCTGGTCAGAACTTCCCCGAAACATATCTGTCCAAAAGCCTATCCATGGATAAGCCCACAATTGACTAGGCATGTCTGCTCATGCCCATCTCACATGTGTTACAACGAGCCCGGCCACGCGTCTGGTGGTACTGGCGCGAACCCTGGTTGAGCGGCAGAGGCAGATTCATGAGTATCTATTCATGAGTATCGAAATATTTACGAGTATCAGCGGCACAGAAACCTAAGCGTGAGGCGGAAACAACCATGGCGAGCTGACAAGGTGAACACTCTGCTCAGAGCGCGCCATATAAGGGCTACATAGAGGCCCACCCGCAGGGATGAAGCCATCGCACGTGCGCCGCTCACATCAGTGGAGCATTTGCTCTGTCCTCGTCCGGGGTAGGTAGCCTCATGGCGTCGAATGCACCGCGCGCTCGCTGTCACCGGGGACAAAGAAGGCGGCCTTGATATCCTGTCACCAGAAGCAGCGAGGCATCGGACCTCCTCTTTGTCGCAGTCTTTGGCCTGTCAAATGGGGGGCAGGCTGCATTCCGGTGTTCGAACCTCGATTGTGTGCTGCAGCGGCGCGTGGCCCAGCGAACAAAGACCAGCTTCTGTGGAGTCCAGTGCCTTAGCCGCGCTTGTCGATACGAAGTTGCATTCAATCTTGCTGAAGTCAACAGGCCTCGTATATCTGCTTGCCCAGTGTGTTTTACATAGAGCGAATCTGGGGGACAGAAATATAAGTCTCACGTGACACTCGACGCCCCATAGCAGACAGACCTCGACAAGACATCACAATCACGTTACTTGTACAAGATGAAGTTGATGGCTCTCAATTGCCGTCTATCTACTCTCCACTGTCATCCACGTCATTCCCTGCCGCAGGAACATCTCGTCCTCGGCCCTGGGGTCCTCCAACCCCACGACGAGGCGGGTAACGTTCCACATCTTCCGGCGTGTGTTTCGTCTGGGGGAATCTCATGGGGATGCATCATCAAGAAAAGGGAATTATACGTCAAAACCAGAAGCCCGCGACCATGCAACCAAACAACCCGGGAACGACTTTTTTTTCGTGGCGAAGGCTCGTAACAAAGGAAAAGGGCGGTATGCCGAGGTGGTGGGTATTGAGGAACAGGATTTCGCTCGTAGGGGGCGAAATGATTTAGTCATCCTCATCGGAGAAGACCTCCTCACCACGCTTGCGACGGGCCATACGGTCTGGAGAAGGCAGAGTTAGTGAATCGGCATCATGGTGGGGTGCGGCAGAGATGGAACATACCCTTCTTCTTCTTGCGGAGCTCGGAAGAAGTAAGCTTGGCCTTCTTCTTGGTGGAGACGATCTTGTTGCCCATGGCATCGAACTTCTCCTCCTCCTCGCCCTCGTCGGCCTTGAGACGGGGACCAGCACCCTGGCCCTGGACCCAGTTGTGGCCGGAGGGAGTCATCTTACCGTCAAGGACGGCCCAGACCTCCTCAGTCAGGTCCTTGGTGAACTCAGCGCTGTGCGTGATGATGATGACACCACCACCGAAGGACTTCAGGGCCTTGGACAGAGCACCCAGGGAGTCACGGTCGAGGTAGTTGGTGGGCTCGTCAAGGACGATAAGATGGGGGCGCTGCCACGAGCACGCGGCGAGGACGACCTTGACACGCTGGCCACCGGACAGACCGCGCATGCGGGGAGTGGGAGACAAGCTCGGCGTCGAGGCCAAAGTTGGCGCAGTGGCTCTCGATCTCCTTGCGGACAAGGGGACGGAACTGACCAGAGGCGAGGGCCTCCTTCATGTCGACATCGGGCGACCATCTTCTGGTGAGAAGCCAGAAGCTCGTTACGGGGCAGCCAGACGTTGTCGGCGGACATCATGGGAGTCCAGCGCTCGTTCTTCATGCCAACGTTCTCACCCAGAGCGAAGGAGCACTCGTACTCGTACGAGTTCTTGAACTTGCGACGAGCGTTGATGCCGATGACGCGACGCTGGGAGTCCTGGATGCGGAAGATCTTGTCCATGGCCTTCTCGTCGGCGTCGGTGATGATCTTGTTGGCACGGTCCATCGTCTCGCGATCCTCACCAGTCTGGAAACGCCACTGGATGTACTCGGAGGGGGTGGAGTCGAGGTGGTTATCGATGTGAGCGAAAGCGTGCTGCTTGATGTAGGCGATACGGATGTTCTCGTGCTGGTAGATCTCACCCGAGGTAGGGATGAGCTCACCAGTAAGGACGTTGATGAGGGTGGACTTGCCGGCACCGTTGGGGCCAATGACGGCAATACGAGAGCCGAGCGAGCACTGGAAGGAGATCTCCTGAATCTGGGGCTTGGTGGTGCCAGGGTACTGGAAGGTCATGTTGGTGGCACGGAGAATGGCCTTGGCCTTGGTCTTCACGCCCTCAAGGAAACCGGGCTCGGGGAACTGGAACTCCATCTCGGAGGCGCCGAGCTCGTAGTAAGACTTGGCCGAGGGGCACTTCTTGACGAACTCCTTCAGGTTACCACGGTAGCGCTTGAGCTTGAAGCGCTCGTAGTGGATGATGTGCTGGCAGACGTTGTCGAGGAAGCCAGAGTCGTGGGAGACGATGATGGACGTGCAGGGGGAGTTCTGCAGGTAGTCCTCGAGCCACTTGACGTTCTTCACGTCGAGATGGTTGGTGGGCTCGTCAAGAAGCAGAATATCGGGGGCCTCGAAGACGGCACGGCACAGAGCGAGCTTCATCTTCCAACCACCGGACAGAGCGGTGATCTCGCCAGAGACCATGGTCTCGGTGAAGCCGAACTCGTTGAGCTTGGCCTTGACGTCCTCGACAGGGGTCTGGACGTTGGCCTCACGCAGCTTCTTGATGGTCCAGTCAATGGTGGTCATCTCGGTATCGGCGGAGTCAAGGTCGTGCTCGACGAAGACGGTCTTGACCTCGCTCTGCTTGGGGAAACCCTCGACCTGCTCGTTGTCGATGGCGCGCATGAGAGTGGACTTGCCGGAACCGTTGGGACCGCAGAGACCGTAACGCTGACCACGCTTCAGGCGAAGGTGAGTCTGGTTGAGCAGAATCTTGGCACCGTAGGCGAGGGAGAAGGTGCAGTTGCAAAGGTCCTCACCCTCCTCATCGTCGGCATCGCCCTCGGCAGCCTCGGCGGCACCGGGGGAGGCGCGCTTGCGAAGGGTGTCGACGACAGTCTCGGAGTCCTTGTCGCCGGTGATGACAGCGACGTAAGGCTTGAGAGCCTCAACCCAGGTGATGGGCTCGATCTCCTTCTCGTCAATGAGCTGACCAGCGATGGCGGAGATGTAGGTGAGGACGGGCTCGACCTGGGCGGCCTTGCCGTACTTGGTGCCGAGAACCTCCTTGAACTTGGCAAGGACGGTGGCGATATCGCCGTCGAGCTTGACCTCAGGGATGACACCGTTCTGGATGTTACCAACACGGTTGAGGGTGTCAAGGGCCTGCTTGGTCTTCTCACGAGCCTCGGGGTCAGCGAGGTTGTCGTAGTTCTTCTGGAGACCGGGCATCATCTTGGGCAGGAAAGGCGCGACAATGTTGGGGTCGTCGACAAGCTTGCACATGTTGTCGACAATAACAGCGGCCTTACGCTTGATGGCAGTCTCACGCTCGGCGAGGCCACGATCCAGCAGGGGGACCATGAGGGCAAGAGTGGGCTCCTGGACCTCGGTGACGAAGGTGGTGGCACCGAGCAGGTGAACGGTCTCGGGGACGTTCTCGGGCTTGGCGATACACTTGATGAGCTCGGGGATGAAGCGCTCGATATCCCTGTTGACGATGAGCTGGCAGAGCTGCTCCATGGTCTTGTAGGCACGCTCCTTGACCTCCTTCTTGGTGTCCCACATGGACTCGGAGATGACGGGGATCAGCTCAGGCACGCGGTGAGCGAGCTGGGCGGGGGCGGTCTTGACGAGGATGTCGATGATGTCGAGGGCAGCCATCTTCTCGGGCCACTTCTGGGCCTCGATGATGGAGACCTTCAGGGGAGGAAGGATAGCCTTGACGGCGTTGGGGCTGATGGCCTGGCCGATGGCGATGGCGGCAGCGGTGGCGGCAGTCTTGACGGGAGCGGCCTTGTCACCAACGGCGGCGAGGACGGTGGGGAGGAGGTCGACGAGGAAGGGCTCCACGTGGGAGGAGATCTCGGAGTGGGAGGCGATGGCGCCAACGGCGACAGCGGCCCGCTCGCGAGCGGCGGCATCCTTCTTGTTGGCGAACTCCTTCTTCAGAGCGTCAACGGTCCTGCAGAGGGGACGAGGTTAGCCAACATGTCGTCTGTCACGGCGATTGGCGCGTTGGGTGAAAAACCGCTTGGGAAAACCACGCGGAGAAAATGTGGGCTCGCCACTGTGAAAATTGAGGGGGTCAGAAAACACTCACTTGGTGGGAACAGCCTGGTCCTCGATGCGGCCGTTGATGAAGGAAGCGAGAGCGGCAGAGGCATCCTTGACCTCGGCAGCCTCCTTGGAGATGGTGAGCTTCTTCATGAGCTCGTCAAGAACCTTGACGGACTGAGCGTTCTCGGCCATGTTGTCGGTAAATATTACGCGAGGCTTCGGGAGAGAAGGTGGTGGTGGTGTGGAAGGGACAGAAAAAGTCTTCGGATAGTGAAACCGTTGACTTTTTGTTGTGCTGCGTCTCTGGAGATGAGATGCAACGTCTATCGAGATCTAAGTCGTCGAAAAGAAGAAGAAAAACCGAAAGTCTATGCTGCGTACGCAAAAGAAGACTTTTGGAAGAGGGAGGGGTGGAGGAGTCGTGTGGAAGAGGGCCGCAGGA